TGACTAGCATCATTACCTGTATCTGTATGGACACAAAATTTATTAAATTTTATATAAAACTACTTTCACAGAATATGTTCTTTATATAAAACTGCATTCAGGGTATATATACAAGTTGTGTTAGGAAATGTAAAGGGATATAATGTTTATGCTTGGGCTCCATTCTCAAGCTGTCTTATTTTATAGATGCTATATACAAATTAAATAGCCTGTATTTCAAAATCTGAAAAAAAATCTGAGAACTGAAGCACTTCTGTTTCCATTAATTTTGGATAAAGAATTCTCAACTTGTACAATTATTCTTGGTTCGCTCCACGTGAACTTAACCTTTGAGCACCTGGACATGGTTGCAGATGTTAGATCTCAACCAAATTTCAAATAAATACCATTTAGGTGTTACTTTTATAGCAGAGTATAAGCATATATATTTTTTGAGATTTCTCCCTTTATACAATGACCAAAATGTATCAGGACTGTTGCTATGGTAACGGAGTTAAAGTATACAGAGTGAAGCCACTTGGCCCAGATTGACTTTGGACTTTGTCACCCACACACTATAAGTTATAACAGTACCACTCACTTTGTTTATACCAGTGCTTGGAAAGAAAGTGTGTAGTGTGGTCTTCTCTCTACGTTACAGAGGTTCTATCATCAACCTACATTTTACATCCCCCACGTACAACAACTAACATATTCCTCAGATGTTGCTCTTTGCAAATTTTTCCTTTTTCCAAAAATCAAATCCCACTTAAAACGAAAAAGATTTCAACACGTCAAGGAAATCCAAAAGAATATGGTGAGGCAGCTGCTTGCTATCCATAAAATAAAGGGGTCCCCAGAAATGCTTCCATCAATAGAAATGACATGGGATAAAGTGTGTGGCTTCAAAAGGAGATTAAATGCTGAATTGATATGCATTGTATTTTCATTTTATAGCACCAGTCCTGATACTTTTTCATCAGACCTCATATTATTGACAAAATTAATGCTTTTCTAGTAAAAAAGTATGTTTCAAAATATATTCCACTGGTGGAATCCCTATGATCATCCAATGCCATCTTCAACCCCATCCCTGGGCACTTTTGTTGAGGAAGATGAAAACAATATCAGCTCAAGCCACGGGGGCATCCCCTGCCCCCCGGCAATACCTCTCCTTTGGGAAGGTGCTAGGATCAGTATCCAGCACCTGAGGCATCCCCAAAAGGGGAATTGTCAAGGGGCTTGAACAGTTTTTGGACAATTTTTCTGAAATCCCACATAAAACACCGGCCTTGTAATGATGTGTGTGAATGCATAGATATCCATTCTGGCAAAACCTGTGATGACACTGGCACCAAGCCATATAGGCCCTTGACTTTTTATTGGACAATGTTTGTGGCAGAGAGAGAAGAGTTTTATTGCATTGACAACTGTCTATCTTCCATAAAATCTTACCTCCTAGAAAAGGAGATTTTTCAGGTGCAGGTAAATGGTCTTGTGGGACTGATGAATGGCACAGACTATTTCAAACAAGAAAAGGTAACTGTACAATTTGATGCCTCCAAAACTAAACTTCTCTCCATTAATCATCTGAGAGACCCCCCCCCTTCCTGCCTTCCATCAGAATGGCTGATGCTAACCTCCAGGAAAGTGACTCATTGTGCCTTCTTGGGTTAACATTCTCAGCTGACAAAAAGTGGAAAGACTATATTGAATCTATTGCAAGGTTAGCTGCTAAGAAAGTTTCTCTTCAGAATCAAACATATCCATAAAGTCTACCATTCGTCCATACTTAGAATTTTGCTGTCACATATGGTTCAGTGTTCCTGGTATTTACTTTGAACTCCTTGATAAAATCTAAACAAGAATCAGCAATATTAGTGGTCCTGATCTGGCAGCTCAGCTTGAGTCACTTTTGCATCACCATAAGGCTGCCTCCCTGTGCCTTTTCTATAAATACTTTCATGGTAATTGTTCGGATGAGCTCATTGTTATGGTACTTAGACTTCTTACATTTAAGCACAGTACGAGACTAGCATTGAGATTTCAGCTGGCTTCATGTAGCTGTAACTTCTATGCTAACAGTTTTTTTTCTTGTACTTCTTGCTTGTGGAACTCCATCCCGGCCCCATGCTTTCCAGCTTGCTTTAATCTTCAAAAAATTCAATGCAATGTCAATTGCTACCTGCTATCCTCCTGATTACTCTTTTCTATTCCCACTTTAGTAATGTTTCTGTTCCTAATTCTTTCACATATAGTAATTCCTTGTGTCTTAGTGACTTTACTGCCTAGCTTGGGGTGAAATTGATTAAAAAAATATTACTTATTTCCATACAGCAAATATTTAGCACTGTACAGTAAGTGTTACTATTGAGTGAAATCTATAAAACCTTTTTTATAAATGGTCACTGAAAGGGTAAAAGGAAAAAGAAATGAGTTGGTCAAGTTTAGTATATAGAGACTGGGTTTAGTTTACATAGGATAACATGAAAAATTACACAGAGAATCAATAGAAAATTTAGTTGAAATTATTTACATATATTTCCTTTCCATTGCCTTTATACGTGAGTTTTATTCAAATAATTCATTAAAAGAGGCTCTGTTTTTCATTTTGACCACAATCATTTGCTGCTGAGATTTGTCTTTTTTTTTTAACAAGCACACCCTTCTTAGACAACAGATAACCAAAATTGAAACACTGATATGTTTCAACATCCAAGGAGTTATTGTAATGAGTCAGATTTATATACTGATTGATTTTTAAGTTAAGCGTCAGATCTTTTTTGATAGGAACATGCTTTTCTGGGGATTCTGATTCCTGGAGTCAAGTGACTTTGATGTGGTGTGCAACGATTGCTAATTCTCATTTCTCTGATATAAGATTCCATCTGATAGGAAAATCAGTGCAGAGGACTGAAGATTTCCATTTTTGGCATCAAAGTAACTCAGGAAAGATAGCAGGAGCTAGAGTCCACATCAAAGTAACTTAGATCAGAAGAAACAGAAAAAAGATGCAGTTGAGAGGACATCACAAAGTGAACTTAAATACTAACATAGTTGAAACACTGATTGTATATATATATATATATATATATATATATATATATATATATTTATGATTGGTTGGCTACTCATTTCTGAGCATACCTGCTTGCTCAGGTGGCTAGCATACACTGTAACTATGCTGAGTGGACCCTAGTTACAATTTCTGAGGGAGAGAGTGTATCACCTGGCATAGTATGCTAAAAACCTTCAATCATGATCACTTGTGGCTTTCAACCATGCAGGCACAACCATGGATAGCTTCCAAACAGCTCATTCACAAATCAACCAGTGACATGGTTTACATACTTTCCAATAGTACCGCAAGCTGGGCTCAACTCCCCAGATCGATAATAATGAAGAGGTTACGTTCCTGACAAATTATCTATGGCACTGACCAGGCTCAATGTTGCTTAACTTCAGTTATCATATGAGGAACTAGCTGATTGGAACTTTCTTCTTAAATATTTCTTTTTTAAATCATTTCACCCCAAGTAAGGCAATAAAGCCACTAAGATGCAAGAGGTTACTGAGTGTTAAGGAATAAACTACTATTAAGGAGAGAGAGCAATAAAAGAATAAGGAGAGAAGATAGCGATTGACATTGCATTTAAAATTTTGAAGATCAAATTTGGCTGAAGAGCAAGAAGCCAGGAGAGAGTTAAACAGAAACCCTTAGCATAGAACTTATGGTTACATCACATTATTTCAACAATACAATGAAAGAGACCTTGCCGCCAATTTAATACTGCGTTAATTTGGAATATGGACACAGTGAAGGTGATTCCACTTCTTGGAAATAGCATGGAACGTTCTAGTTGTTTTTGAGGTTGTTGATTTCTTGGTGAATCATTTTGAACATAACTAAATTATGATTCTCTGGTTTTACCATTCTTGGAGATATTTTATTTTTTTAGGTAATGTTCATTAATGGAGAGTTTAACTGAACATTACACCTTTAATCTTGTAAACTGAAATCTGTGAATCTGCTCCACACTAAAGTTGTAAACATTGAGAGAAACTGAAATGCATTTTGAAAAAAATTTTTTTTTCTTTTAATAATTTCACCACAAACAAGGCAATAAAGCCACTATGACACAATGCTAGAAAATATGAGAAAAACTACTATTAAGGAAAGAGGACAATAAAAGAATAAAAGAACTAAGAAGAGAAAAGATAACGACTGACATTGCATTTATATTTTTGGAGATCAAAGTTGACTGGGAAGCAAGAAGCCGGAAGAGAGTTCCATAAGAGAGTTGGTTGGCTGGTTGTTTTTGTTAGTGGCATATCAACACCTCTATGGGTTATTTAATGCTGAAATCTAAATATTTTGTATTCATTTTTATTTTTGAAGATCAAAGTTGGCTGGGGAGCAAGAAGCTGGAAGAGATTTAAAAAGCTAGTTGTTTCAATTGTACAATGACGAGATCTTGTTGCCAATCTAGTACTGTCCTAATTAGGAATACGGAGTAAGTGAGGGTGAATCCAATCCATGGAAGTGGTTATGAAGCATCCTGGCTGTAAAAGTTTGAACCAGTGGAATTAAAGAATGGAGCTAATCTGAACATATTTATTGCATACTTGCCTCCATACTTATTTCTTTTAGTCAAAGACATAAGGAACGGTATTCACACATTTCATTTGTTTCTTGTTCTTATTGAAAAAATGCAGTGAAAGAAAGTATATTAAGTTTCTTTTCATTTTCAAATAAATCTAACCAAAAGAATTTTCACATATTATTTCAAACTCTAACTTCTAATTAGTAAAGTTTTATTTTTATTCTATTGTTCAATTAATCAAAAATTTAAATCCGAGTCATGGGAATTTGAATAAAGCTGAGATCAGAATTAAATGAGTTCTTTCAGCCTGAGAGCATTTTTATCTCACATGTGATACCAGATTTTACTAGTAAGGCAGCTGAATTTCTATATACAATTCTATCAACATCTCTTATAATAGGCTCATGGACATATCCTGTTAAAACACCAGTTCTCATACAATCACTGAAGGTAAGCAACGTTGAGCTTGGTCAGTACCAAGATGAGTGACAGCTTGAAAATTCCATGTGTTGTAAACATGCATGTGCAGGTGGCATAAAGGGCTTATAGCCATATCTTGTTGAAAGATCAGTTCTTGTATGATCACCGAACTTAAGCAACATTGAGCCTGGCCAGTACCTAAATGGGTTACCATTTGAAAATACCATGTGTTGCAAACTTGGATGTGCAGGTGCTATAAAGGGCTTATGGGTATCTCGTTGAAACACTGGTTCTTGTAATGTCGAGCCTATGAGTACATAAATGAGTGACCACTTTGGAATACCAGGTGCTGTAAGCTTGGATGTATAGCTAGTTTAATGGATAATGGCTTGAAATTGAGAGACAAGTTCCATTTCTGGTTGGGATCGTTATATTCACTTACATGGAAACACTCTTAGGAAAGGTATGAATCCACATTTTCTCCTCCAAAGCTATAGATTATTTAGTAGGACTTGTATGAGTAAATCATTATCTAAAATATATATACACACACACACACACACACACACACTACAATCTGAAAAATATTTTCTGGATTTAAATAACCTGCTCATAAACCATAAAAGACAAATCAATCTCTTATTATATTTTGGGATTATTGTCTCAGATAAGCAGCTTTATATTCAAATAGGTAATAAGATTAACAGCAACCTGAAGAAGACAGATGCAAAAAAAACAAAAAGTTTTAATAAAAACAATAAAGATGAGGACTTCTTAAACCAAGCTACATGACACTTACACTTTCCTGTTCATGTTCTTGCTTGCCTCTTTTTTTCTCACACATGCATACAAAGAAATCAGATTTCCTTTCATCTTAAGAAACATCTACAAACAAGGAAGTTTAATGCAAGAACTGTAACACTCATACACGCTGAAAAAAATTTAGTTGCAAAAACATGAACATAAAAATATTTTTATGTTAAAAAGCCTTTTTTGCCTTTTTGTTTATTCATATCCACAACAAATAAATGGAACACATAAATAAAAAAATCTTAATTACTTCTTATAAGTTGGTAAATGAAATTTGAATGAATGTTGAAAGATTTAAAATCAGATACTTGAATTATTTATCTTTAAATGTGACAAACTTTAAGATCTTATTGTCCTTGAATAAACAAAACAAAAATATATTTTTCTGTCAATTTTTCATTAAAATAACTTGAATGACCTGTTAATGAATAATATTTATGTGTTTATGTTTTCTACTTATAAACTCAAATTGAAAATACAAAGGAGAATTCAAAAAACGATAAACAAACATGAAAAATTTAGTCATGGTCTGAGGCAGTTAATTGCTAATTAAAATATTTTGATAATGTCTGTAAATCATGTTACTAACAATTATTAATGATCATAAATTTAAAGAAAAAAAAAATTAATTTCAGTACAGTTTGAAGTTTTTTCAGGATGATTAAACTTGTTGGTAATTACGGTTCCGGAATGATGGTGAAACAAGTTTGTCTGGAGCCTTGATCCTTGTAATCGACTCCAGGTTGAATATTGATCCAATACACTTTTTTTCCCATTGGCTGAAATATATACTGGTATTTTATACAAGTAACAGGTGCAACCTGTAAGTGGTACATCTTCATCAAATAGAACCTGTAATAAAGATGTTGACCTGAATATGATTTAGAAAGAACAATCCAGATTGTGAGCAGCGAAGTGTGGCAAAAGGCAAAAACAAAACCCTGTTTTACAGACCTATTATTAAATATAAGTGCCACCTGGAATAGTTATGTCAGTGGGAACAAGTCAAATAAACATGCTGCTGGGAAATTTTGTGTAAAAGTTTAATAAATCTGGAACTAAAAATTCATGATGTAAATGATTTGAAAAATAAATGTACCATACTAAATAAGCAATGTGCTAGTGGGTGGCTGATAAGTAACTCAATACTGTAAAACACACACGTAGAGAAAGGTCATTTTTGGGGGGCTTTAAGAGAAATAAGTAGATGATATAGCAGCAGTTTTAGTAATCTTCCATTCAATTTTTTTTTTTTTTTTTTTTAGAAAAGCTATTCCAAAAATCTACATTTAGTTTCGTTTTGTCTAACATCATGTCTACTGACATATACAAGAAAAAAAAAAAAAATATATATATGTGTGTGGATTCTAGAAGAAAGATGTCTATGTTTTCTTTTCCCAATGGCAAACTGAGCTGCTGGAGGAATTTGATAAATTCCTGGCACATCCAGACATTGTTTTAATTTTTAAGTTTTTATGGCATGCACAGAAAGTTGAATTTACCAGTGAGTTTATGCAGTTGATCTTAAGTAATAAATCTACTCAATTCATCAGTGGCCATCTGCATGAGTGATTTAGAGGGTGGGGAGGAGGTAAGAGGGGTAAAAAAAAAAAGAGAAAAGAAATGAAATAGCCAGATAAAAAACAAATGAAAGGGGAGGAAAAAAATAAAAAGCTGTTCAAAGTTAACAGAATTTTTTTCAATCTTGTCTAAACATTTTTTTTATTGCTTTTTTTTTCTTCCTCAGATATTGTATAAATTTAAATTTGTTAGAATTTGTGGAAAAGAGGATCTTGTTCATCATCTATCGCGTTCTAGGTCACCAGATCATACCCCATAAGATTTTTATCTGTGAGGTTATATAAAAGAAAACGTGTTTGTTCCACCTATATCTGTTACTCTTGAAGATTTGAGACGTTGAATTGTTGAAGCTGTGAAGTCAATATCCACAGATTAATTGATTTCAGTGTGACAAGTGGAATACCATTTCGATGTTTGTCGTGCAACATGTGGTGAGTGCATAAAAATTGAACAACCTTAAAATAATAAACTTTGAACCTTTTCATATCCAATAATGGGTTGAATGCATTTCTATCTCTAATCTGCTCTTGCTTTTTGAATAAACCTGTATATGTGTATGTGTGTGTGTGTGTTTGGGTAGCAGTCCCTCTTTAATACATGTTTCATTAAACAAAACTAACAAATTACTTTTATTTAGTTTTTTTTATTGGTATTTTCTTGCACGTGTACAAGTGTCTTCTTTTCTGGACTTCTTTTATGTGTTGTGTCCCTTCAAGACATAGGTGATCATAGCTCTCCACAATTTCCTGTCCTTCGTAGCTTTTAATAAATTTTGTCTTTTTCTTATTTACCCTAAACCCTGCTCTGTTGTCCAGTCACTCAAGCTCACTAAGAAGGTTATGTGTTGTTTTCCTCTGTCCTTCTTGTCGTCAATCCATCCTATGAGTATCAGATTTTCCAAGCCCACTTTCCTCATTGTGTGCCCTAGAAATTTCAACTGCCTCTTCCTGATGTTAAATGTTTCCTTTTTGTTTGAATTTTCTCTAAAACCCTGTTGTTGCTCACACGTTTGGTTCATAGTATCCTCAGCATCCTTCTGTAGAACCACATTTCTGTTACTTCGAGTGTCTTTTCCATCTTTGAGGAGAATGTTCAGCTTAATGAATGTAAAACTTGTTCAAAAGTTTCTTTTGGCTAAAGTCTAAACTGTTAGCCATTTTCAAGGCTTCCTTTTTGTTATACTTCTATGATAAATAGAGTGTATGTATTTTTGTATATGATATATAAAAGTAGGCTTATTCTTAATTTCCAAACATGGCCAGTACATTTTGGCTGTGTTCATAATCGATGCTATTAAGGGTCAATTTCTTGTTGGCTTCTCATTTTTAACAAATATGATGTGTATATGCAGCATATATGTTGAGAGCACAGATATGATAATTATTTCCAACTACAAAAAGAATTTGGAAGCTCCTATTACAAAAAAAAAAAAGAATTCTTAAAAAAAATTCAACTAAAAAATTTTTCACCTTTTTATATTCTTAAGTATTTATCTTGAAATGACACTAGACATCAGTTTCAATTCAGTCAGTTAAGTGTCATACGTGATACATGCTTGGGCAATCATGGCTCTTTTGCTTTAGACACCTTGACGTAATGGTTAGCAAGCTTGGTTCACAACAATCAATTATGGCTGAGTAGTTAGTTTGAACAAACAAGTACAGAAATTTAAATACCTGGGAAGTGTTCTAACAGAAAACAGAAATAGTGATACAGATCAGATGTAGTGGGATGACCAAAGATGCCTCCCAAAAGCTAAGCAGAGTATTAAGAGACAGAAATATTTTGTTAGAAACAAAGAAAAGAGTACTGAACTCTTGTGCAATATCAGTTCTGTATGGCAGCAATAGATGAAGAAGAAACTTGAAGCAACAGAAATGTGGTTCTATAGAAAGATGCTGAGGATACCATACATTGAACATGTGAGCAACGATGAAGTTGTGGAGAAAATGGAAACAAAATTTATACTTAACATCAAGAAGAAGCCGTTGAAATTTCTGGGGCATGTAATGAGGAAGGAGGGCTTGGAAAACCTGATCTTCACATGAAAGATTGAAGGAAAAGAGGGACAGAGGAAAGCAACACGTAACATACTTGATGGACTTGAGTGAATGGATGGTAGAACAGGGTTTGGGACAAATAACAAAAAGACAAAACTTATTAAGAACTACAAGGGACAGGAAGATGTGGAGGACCATGATCGCTTATGTTCTTAAGTGACACAGCACATAAAAGAAGTGAGTTTGATCCTTGCTGGGTGCCCCATAATTTCGGCCTTTTGTCAGATCTAAGCTATGCTTAGAAAATCACCATATCTCTTTGGATTAATGACTGACTAAGCAGAATATTTTCCTGCAGTAGGCTGCTGTTTCTTTCTCTGGTAAACTAGTTGCCAACCAAGGCTAAAGAACACAGTCTGTCCTGCTATTCAAACCATAGTTGCAGTGTGGAGGGGTTGAAGAGATGAATTCATACCTTTCCCAAGGGTATGAATGTAATGAACTTGACTGGAATTCTGAGCCGATATCTGTTAGACCATAACTTACAGTTTCAATTATGAGAGGTAAATTTCAAAAAGAATTAATCAGTACTCATTCAATACTCCTTCCTAAAAGGAGTAAATCTGATGGAGAATGGAAATTTGGAGATGGCTGGTTCTAAACAGCTGTAGGTTATTCTAGAATTTTAACCTTCTTGAAATGA